GGTTTTCGTTGGCACGGCAAACCCCTAGGAGCAATCTGGGTTTGCTTCGAGAGTCCCAAATCGCAATCAGCATATTGCTGTTGTTCCCTGCTCTCCCATTCGACAAAATATATGGCCAATCAGATTGCATCTCACTTCTCGTAACCACCCTTCGCAACCCAAACAGCACTCAAAACATCACCCCCGTCAACCTTAGTAAGCTTGGCCAGCGCGCCCCGCAATTTGGGCCGTGAGCTTTAAAGACACGCCCTGGAGGAAATGACAAAGCGTCCTGTTTCCAAGTTTCCTATTCCTTTCGGCAGTGGTTTTGACACCACCTCGGTTCGCGCTCGCGTCCGATACCTTCGGGCCGATAATTTCGCTAATTTCCTTTCCGAGTCCTACCAATCATAGTATATTTTGTTTATAGGGATATTCCAAATGAGGCGTCGCTTATTAACTAACAGCGCGGAACAACGAAATATATAATCCCCTATTGGATGGCATGCCATCCGGGAGGCATCAACCCTAAACACCATGAGGCAAGGTGTTTAGGGTTGATGCCTCCCTAATGGCCAGCCATCCGAGTGGGTTTTATTTTTTTACACTGTCTACTAAACTGAAATCAGGTAGTCTTCATAAAATCCCTGGTCACAGGAAATTGGAAATGTCAGAAAAAACTGTCCCAAGGAATCGGACGCGAGCGCGAAGCGGGGTGGTGTCAAAACCACTGCCGAAAGGAATTGGAAACCAGAAAACAGGGCGCTCCGTCATTTCCTCCACGCCCTGACTAACCAAGGTTCAGCTAGTTTGTGACTCGAAATGGGGGTGACGTCACCGAGAAATTGGGGTGACAAATGCACTGCAGGTTGCGTCGAGGGTGTGTTAGAGATTCTAAGTCCTGCGAGCCAGGCCGACCCGAGCCAGTCCGACGGGTTTGGGCTGGAACACGTCAATTACCACAGATTCACCACAGTGCGTTGCTGACCAGCAGAATGGGAACTCTGACGTTCGCCGTGCCAGACACAGTGCAATGGCGCGCCAGCAAAATCCACAGGGTGGCCTGCCTGAAACGAATCGAGTCAAGTCGAATCGAGAGCCTCGTTGGCATCCCAACCACTTCCATCGACATAAAATAAAAATGGGCATTTATTTTAGCAGTAACATTTATGGAGCTCAATTGCACCCAAAGTAAGCTACGCGTTTCAATTGTAACAGAAATAGCTTCTTATTGCCACGATGGTAACCAGGATGCCCAAATGGTCAACATTACTGCCTACATGGTAATGAATGAACAGTGCATCCGGAAATCCTGGCTGGCAACTTAGCGCTCCAACCAAACCGTACACCTTATAAGTCAGGTTTGACTCAGCGAAACAATACTGACTCAACGTGTACCCAACAAAATGCGCATTTCTGTTTATAGTAGCGAGGTTTACAATTTCAGACAGTAAAACCGCGATATGGAAACTCGTAATCTGTAAACAAATCAACAAGCAAACAGACAAACAAAAATTCTTATCTATCAAAGAAACACTGCAAAAAAACATGTACACATAATGTCAAACGGAAAAGATATCCTAGTTATATATATTTGCAACAAATTATTCTACCCTATCAAAAATATATTTCAGAATTTTAGGATTTGAAACTAGACCTACTTACAAAAATCTCAATATCAATTTGAACAATATAAATTTTGCACACGGTAGAAAATAAAAGTTGCATAAAAAAACCCTTTTTATATATTAAAAATTGCATACAAGACATGATATAAACTGTATGAACAGATAATCGAATCCCCGTTTTAAATATTCAGGCTACATTTGTTTTTTACGGAGTGTCCGTAAGATGCTTGCTATAATATTGATTATTTATTATATCAAATACGTGCATGTAAAGTTTTGCATTATTAAGCGTTTGTTTACTAGACAGAATTGCGCATTCTGTGGGTGTATACGTGGATAGTCAGTTTCCTTTTTGTTGAGTCAAAACCTGACTTGTACGGTGTAGAGTTTGGTTGGAACGCAAAGTTACCAGCCAGGATTTCTGGATGCACTGCTCATTACCATTCAGGCAATAATGTTGGCCATCTGGGCATAATAGTTACCATCGTGGCGATGAGAAGACATCTCTGTTACGATTTCGATACGTGGCTTACCTCGCATGCAATCGATCTCCATGAATGTTACCGCTGAGATAAATGCCCTCTTCTTAGCCGCGACTCGCTCGAGTCCACCAAAGCAAGTTCCGTGGCTGTCATGGCAACATCCAGCGTATGTCCCTGACGTGTCGATTAGGGCTGTCAATTGTTTTCGGAGATCCCTGAACGACCCGAGCTGTGATCGATTGTCACCCTGTCGCTTCAATGTGCGTGGGTCAGTTCGGAATCCAGAAATTGCAGAACTTTGAAATTCGTGATTCAGTGACCCGGCAATTCTCCAGCCCAAGTAGTGTCGAAAATGAGTTGTGATTTGATTGGGCCTTGACATGTTGGAACTCGGAACAACACGGCCTTGCCATTTTCTTTCTTCTTTGTACCCATAGTAGAGTCCGTCCATACGTTCAATGTGGTTGCGGAAACTCGGGCTAGATCGGACAAATTACCCTGACGTTTCAAAGCCTGTCGGCTGTCCCTACGGGAGCGCCGTCGGGAGTCCTGTGTCGGGGCTGATACGCAAACAGTGCTGTGGAAGCAAGACTTTGATATGAATCAGGATACGAGGGCGCGTTCAATTGTAACATCAGAACGAAATTATGTGCAGTTACCGTGCTAGTCGAGACTTCACGGGCCCACAGCGACGCTCGCCTGAGCCTTCGCTCGTCTGCTTTCGTCAAGGGAACGACCGACACTCTCTTTCCCGTGGCATAAAATACGCTCTCATTCCTTCTCCCCTCCCACACTGTGCTATTCCTCCTTCCGCCCGAATTCTCCAAAAAAGTCGGTGGTCCGTACAGTATATACTGTGCGTTTATAGTATGTAACCAGAATGAATCGGATCAGAACGCATTTGACATGCATGTATCCCATCCCACCCCAGCTTCTTGGTTAGGAACAATCCCGTGATTTGAAGCATTTTTCCCCTTCCACGCAGGCTTTCTGATCAACGCGATGTACTTCTGTCACCCAAACCGTTGAGTTCTTGCGTGTGTAGCCTTACTAGCTGGTCGCGTCGCGATTTAACTCAACACACCGTCCTCCTCAGCACTTCATCCATCCGACCATGGTTACTATTTTGTAGTAAGTTAGAAAAAGTGGTCTAAAAGATAATTCAAGAGACCCTCAAGCTTCAAACGGGTTTTTTTCTCTTGAGAAATTATCAAAGGGCACCACGAACGGGTGACTCCGTTGAGGTTCATGCCGATCTTCTGGCAGCGATGCTGTCGATTATTGTCGACAGACGGCTTGCGTGACTGTCGAAGACCATCGTTATCGGACATCATCACTTGTCATCAACTATCTCGCGGACTGAAGCAGCATTCGCTACCTGCGGCGTAATTATTTAGTGAAGCAGCAACTCCTACTCAATCTTTACCTGACCCGGTTCAACCCGGTTAATAACTTATGGCTCCCCGAAACCTCCGCTCATTCTCCTACACTCTCCATCTTACTCTACACCTGCTCTCCGTCTTCTCCGCCGCTTCTTCCGCTGGATTAACCGAAAATGCTCCCGCGAGCGCTCCCGCCCCGTCTCCCGGCGACGACATAGTCCCTGATATTCCCGGTATAGACTACTCCGTTAATATCACGCTTCCTATCGTCTCAGGCACGTCAGGAGATCCCGTGGGGCCTCCCGTTTGTTTTAGCCAAGGGCTGTCTCCGCACCCGGTTCCGATCCCTTGTGGCGAAAATCCTCCGCAAACAGCCGCGTCGCAGACGGCGTCGCAGACGGCGTGGCCCGTATCGCAAATGCTGTCGCTCGCCAGCGCGCGACGATTCGCATCCACCAGAAATTCGAGTCGGCCTCTCGTGGATACTGACTCCACACCCAAGTTAACTCCCGCTACTGAGCTCTTCGATATATGCACGGGACAAGGTACGGCTCTTCGATATATGTAGTACTATCGTTCGACTCCGTTTTTCGCCCCGGGCGCCTGAGGTCTCGTGTGATCGTGCGGCTGAGGTCGCATGCGATCGAGAGACGGTCTTGGCATGCGATCGTACTTTCTGTTCGCACTGCATTGCTTTCGCCGCTATCCGCGCGCGCTCGAGTGCGCTGTCGTTGAACGAGTCCGCAAAAGTGCGGCTCACTCGTCGTCGCTCACTCGTCGTCCCTCACTGCTCGTCGCTCACTCGTCGTCCCTCACTACTCGTCGCTCACTTGTCGTCGCTCAGTACTCGTCGCTCACTTGTCGTCGTTCACTTGTCGTCGCTCACTCGTCGTCGCTCACTACTCGTCGCTCACTTGTCGTCGCTCACTCGTCGTCGCTCACTCATCCCTATCGCCCCTCACAGCTGCAAGTTCAGGCTAAAGTAGACTCGCGCCCTCCGTATCACCCCCCACCGTCGCTCACAGTCGTTCACAGTCGTTCACAGCCGCACACTATTTCCTAAATTAGCCTTGCGTATCGCCCTCGCTCGTCCCTTCGCCGTTATTCTATCCTCCTCACGCGACGATCTCACAAATGGTCTCCTCGCATCAAATTTTCTTTACGAATCAAACTTGATTCTTATTGCGATCTTTTCCGGATCCCGTGTCCGCCCTCCACCCCTGCCCTCCACCCTCCCCTTCTCCCAGCCTCCGCGTCAGCGGCTCTCAACCCACGCAGGGGGGGGCATTGAACTGAGAGTGTCCCGTCCCGCCTGCTCTTTCCCCTCTCCCCTTTCCCCCCTCCGTACCAACCTCCCCTTCTCCCAGCCTCCGCGTCAGTGACTCTCAACTCACGCAGGGGGGACATTGAACTGAGTGTGTTCCGTCCCGCCTGCTCTCCCCCCTCCCGCCCACACTCCCCCTCCCCACCACACGCCCCACTAACCCAGCCTCCGTGTCTGTGACCCTGAAGCCACGTAAGCGAAACACATGGCGGGGTTGGGGTACGTCCCTCTGCTGGTAAGCCGCAATCCCCCTGGTTTCCCTTTTCCCCCTTTTCCCCCTTTTCCCTTTTCTCCCTTTTCTCCTTTCTCCCTTTTCCCTTATCTCCCTTTTCCCCTTTCTCCCTTTTCCCTTTTCTCCCTTTTCCCCTTTTTTCCTTTTCCCCTTTCTCCCTTTTCCCCTTTCTCCCTTTTCCCCTTTCTCCATTTTCCCCCTTCTCCCTTTTTCCCTTTCTCCCTGTTTCCCTTTCTCCTTTTCCCCTTTCTCCCTTTTCCCCTTTCACCCTTTTCCCCTTTCTCCCTTTTCCCCTTTCTCCCTTTCCCCCCTTCTCCCTTTTCCCCCTTCTCTATTTTCCCCTTCCCTGTTCTCCCCTTCTCCGTTTTCCTTTTTCTCCCATTTTTCCCCGTTCTCCCCCTTTGTTCTTCTCGCCTTTCTCCCCTTTTCCCTTTTCTCCCTTCTCCCCACTCCACCCCTTTCCCCCCTTCTCCGCCATTCCCCGTTGTTCCCCATTCTCCCTTCTCCATTTCTCCCCCTTCTCCCACTTCCCCCCTTCTCCATTTCATTTCCCCCTATTTCGCCCTTTCCTGCTTCTCCCTTGTTACCCTTTCTCCCTTTTTTCCCTTGTCCCTTTTCTCCCATTTTTTCCTTTCTCCCTCCCTTTTTCCCTGTTGTCCTTTTTTTCCCTTCTCCCGTTTCCACCTTTCTCTCTTTCTCCCCTTTCTCCCTTTAACCCCTTCTCTCGTTTTCCCCTCTTCTCCCCTTTTCCCTATTCCCTTATTCCCCTTTCTCCCCTTTTCCCACTACTCCCTCTTTTCATTTTCTCCCCTTTCCCTCCTTTTCCCCTTTCCCCCTTTTTCCGCTCTTTCCCCTTCTCACTTTCCCCCTCCCCTCGCTGTTGTCCCTCGGTTCTTCGTTTTTCTCCCTTTTTCCCCCTTCTCCTGTTTTTTCCATTTCTCCCAATTTCCCCTTTTCTCCCCATTCTCTTTCTTCCGTTTTTTCTCTCTCTATTTCCCCCCGTCTCCCTTTTCTCCCTTTATCCCTTTCCCCCCTCCTCCCCTTTCCCTGCTTCTCCCTTTTCCCTCCTCCTCCCTTTTCCCTCTTCCCTTCCCCCGTCTCCCTTTTCCCCCCTTCTCCCTTTTCCCCTCCTCCTCCCCTTTCCCCCCTCCTCCCTTTTCCCTGCTTCTCCCTTTTCCCTCCTCCCTTTTTCCAAAATCCTCCCCTTTCCCCCTTCTCCCTTTTCCCCACCTTCTCCCTCCACCCCCCCTTCTTCTCCCTTTTTCCTCCTTTCCTCCTCCCCTGTTTCGGATGGGATACCTCCCACTGCTGGTAAGCCATTCCCAGTCCCCCCTCCTCCCCCACTCCCCATTCCCTTCATCCGCCCTCCCCCTTTCCCTGTTAGCCTGGGTGCAGCAGGGGGTATCTCATGCACCCAGGCTAACAGGGAAACAGGAACCTCATACTGTTAGCCTGGGTGCCAGTAAGTCCCATCTGGATAGCACCGTCCTCTCAATGTAACACCACTTCAATTTAATCACCATAACACTATTACATACTCCCTCGGAGTGGCACCACTGCTCTCCCACAATGCACCACCATTTCTCACCCCCGTTTCCCTGCACCCTCCCTCTTCCCATCCCATTTTTCCCTGCTTTTATCTCGCCCTCCCAGGTTAGGAAACTTCGTGGGAGGCTTCCCAGACGAGCACTTCAACCCGCTCATGGACCTCCTATTCTCCCCCTCGGGTCTAAACCTCAACATAGTCCGTTACAACATAGGAGGCGGCTACAATGCTACTAATAGCCCTCGGTTCCTAACTGGGTATGTCAAATGGCGGGGCATGCCGGGCTTTAAAGCCACAGAGGAAGCGGCTTATAATTGGTCTGCAGATGACAGGCAGAGGAGAGTTTTGTTTGCTGCCCGGCAGCGCGGGGCGGACCGGATCGATGCTTTTGCCAACAGCCCGCCGTGGTGGATGACAGTCTCGGGGGATGTTGCGGGCGCGCCTACATACGGGCAGGGTAACTTGAAAGTGGAATATGAAACGGCTTTTGCGGAATACCTCACTGACGTGGTGCAGAAGTTTGCAAGGGATAGAAGCTGGGGCAAGGGATTGGTGTTTGACACTTTGGAGCCGTTTAACGAGGCGTTGGAGGGGTGGTGGAAGCAGGGGGGAGGGCAGGAGGGGTGCAACATCAATATACAGCAAATGAAACGCATTTTGCCCAAGGTGCAGGCTGCTCTTGCAAGGAAGCAGCTTAAAACGAAGATCGCGGGGGTCGATAGCTTCGTGCAAACCACCCCGAGACAAATCGGGAGCATTCTCAGCCCGTTCCTGATTCGCTACAACGTGCACGGTTACATGAGCCTCGCACAAAACGGGATGAGTCCCGTCGAATTCACGACGCAGAATTTCCACGTGATGAAGGATATCTCGAAATCACAGGCGAAGGAGGTGTTTGTTTCGGAGTGGGGGCCTCTGAATCGAGGTGGGGAAGATACAGATGTTGCACTGTTCATGGCACGATCGATCATTGGGTCGTTGAACGTTCTAGAAGCTACTGGGTGGGTCTTTTGGCAAGCGATCGACCCTGTCGCGTCGTGGGCTTTAATCCACATCGACTGGTCGAAAACTCCGGATGCGTCTACAGAGTACACTCCGCCGCTGGTTTCCAAAAAGTTTTGGATTCTGAAGCATTTCACAAGCCTTGCTCCTCCTCACAGCAAGAGGCTGCTTATCAACAAGCCGGGCTGCCACTTTGGGATTGCTGCTTTCTACACCCCGAAGAAGAGATTGATAAGTGTGTTTGTGGTGAATCAAAAGGGTGCATCAAGGACGGTGAAAGTTCACATGCCTTGGTGGTTTATAAGGAATGTTGGTGGGAAAACAAAGGTGCGTTCATGGAGAACATCTTTCGCTGAGGACTTCGAGGAAATACACTACGGTAGAGGCACTAGGCCACTACGGTTTGAGATTCCTGGTCGGTCGTTTATGTCGTTTGCTATTACACATATCAGGTCCCTCGCTTAGGATTGTACTCAGTGACTGTATACGGTAGGTAGGTGCCTTCTAGGATTAGAAATACTAGAAGTGTACTACTGTAGTAGGTAGAAGTCAATATAGCACCTGTGTTGGCTTTTAGGCATTGAGGTATATGCTTTGCATTCTGCTGCCTTTTGATAGTACTGGTAACTAGTGTATGCCTTGAAGCCAACCCTGTTATTGCACATCTCGCACCATGTACGTTATCACCAAGTGAGCAGCACCAAATACAGAGAATCAATACAGGTAGGCAGGCAGGTTCAAACATGTACAGTTGTGGCTTATAACTAAGTATTGCAATCTAGCAAAACTTAATTTTGCAAGCAGCCAGTCCTCGCAAATATGCTGTCAAAATATTCCCCTATCTCACCTTCTTCGATTCTACCCCTGCCCTCTTCATCCCGAGCAGGATCTCCGTGCGGTAACTCGCGTCGTCACACAGAAAACTCCACCACACCAGCGTAAACGGCACTGTTGCCGCATGCCACAGTGAGTGCGCGTCAAAAAGGCCCAAAATCGGCGGGAAATCGTAGAGCTCGAGCAGTAAGGAAAAGGCTGTGCCGCCCGACACAAAGAGAACCTTCCAGGCGGACGGGTGCCGGCTGGCAATGGCCCAGATGGTCCAGAGCAGCAGCTGTGTGACTCCCATGGAAGTGCACACTACGATGTTCCAATCTGGAGAGGGGTGAGAGGAAAGGTGCAGTGGAGAAGAGGTGAGGTGCAGAAAATTGCTGGATGGCTATGGCCCAGATGGTCCACAGCAGCAGCTGTGTCACCCCCATAGCAATGCACAGAACGATGTCTCTATCTGCGTCAGGAGGAAGGGATTGTCAAGAGGAGGATTGTGAAAGGGGAGTTTGTTAAGGGGGAAGGGAAAGCTCCCTGGCGCTGCCACCACGACCCGTGTGGCCTCCTCCCTCAGGCTGCTGATGAAATGATACACATATGCTCGCCACAATCACACCCATTACATTCATCCTCGATGTAACCATAATCACCCACCAAAGTCGAAAGTGTAGAAGTTCATGTAGAATATGTGAGTGGTGGTGAAGGCGATCACAGGCGCTGCCACCATGACGCGTGTGGCCTCCTCCCTCAGGCTGCTGATTCGGATGATGCAGACGAGCAGCGAAATGCCGATGAGAGCGATGGCTGATGTGTAATCCCCTGACTGTGTCTCCCAGACGTCCCTGCAAGGAGGAGAGGGGAAGAGGGAGAGGACAGGGGTCGATGGAGAGGAATATTGCGAGAAAATCGGAAACAACATGCCGATGAGAGCAATGGACAATGTGAAAATCGAAAATGACAGGGGAGAGGAGTCAGCGGTTGAGCGTCGTGCAAGGTCATGTGTGTAACGACTCTGAACGTTCACCATTTTCTCATGCGCCGACAAGCTTGCCATTTCATGCTGCGTTGAACCCACTTGTGCGGCCAAAATCACCCTGATTCACCCACTTAAGACGTTGTCGCTCCTCCTTGACTCTTCGTGGCATCGAAAAAACTCCCTTACATGACATGCTTCAGGCGGAAGCTTCACGCATGAGCGTCAAGCGATGGCGAAAGCCAACTATGTGATCGACAGCAGCAGTGGCAAGCCGCGGAGACACGCCTGGGATAGTGTCATCTCAACTTGCCACTTCAGCCATCAATCTCATACTCACTAATGGTTGACGCTGTTGAACGATCTACGATCGAAGCATGTCATGTAAGAAGGTTCTATCGATGCCACGAAGCAGCAATGAAGAGCGACATCGTCTCAATGAGCAAGTGAACCAGTGTGGTGTTCGCCGCACAAGCGAGTCCAATGCAGTATGGAATGACAAGATCGTCAGCGCCAGGAGAAAACGACAATCGTTTGGTGTCGTTGCTCGCATAACCTTGCACGACGCTTGACCATTGACTCCTTTACCCTGCTTTTTTCAATATTGAACGTGGGACTTCGAAATATTGAAGTGCTAATGGCACCTGTATCAAATAACACACGCACCATATAGCACCTGCGCACGTACCGGGCATGGAAAATGGCGCTCCAGAGCCAGGAGTTGAGGGCGAAGAGCCCGTAGATGGCCATGAGCGTGGAGTACTCGTAGAGCGGGCCCTTGTTGCCCATGGGCTTGCGCGGCAGCTTCACATACACGAGACGCAGGAAGGTGTAGAGGCCGTAGAGCGTGGCTAGGAAGTTGAGGATGGAGAAGGCGGAGGACGCGATTTCCTGGGAATGAGGGTGAGAGAGTGATGTGAGGAGGGGGTCATGGAGCGAAGGAGAAAGAGAGGAGAAGATTACGCCTCAGTATGGGCAGGTTGGAGAGCGCGGAGTATTCATAGAGTGGGCCCTTGCCCTTGTTGCCCATGGGCTTGCACGGCAGCTTCACATACACGAGGCGCAGGAAGGTGTAGAGGCCGTAGAGCGTGGCTAGGAAATTGAGAATGGAAAAGGCGGAGGAAGCAAATTCCTGGAAAAAGGGGAGGGAGGAAGGGAGGGAGGGAGGGAGGGAGGGAGTTTTACGGGGCATGATCGACTATGAGGCAAGGCGAACTATGGGCCATGGTGGGCTGTAGGGCAAGGTGGGCTATGGGACACAAGAAACGTGTTGAGGTTGAGACTTTCCTGGAAATAAGAAACGCGGATGAAGGGTCATCTTCCGCAGTACTGCACTTGCGGCATGCCAGGCATCTGAATGTCACGCATGCACTGGTACTTGCACCGCTCACACAGTTATGCCTCGTTATAAGACAGGCCTTCGAACGAGTCTCACCTGAAATTAAATACGCGGATGTAAGGGCCATTTGCCATAGTACTGAACTTGAGGCACCCCAGGCATCTGATTGTCGCGCATGCACTGATACTTGCACTCGCTCTCGCGGTCATACCTACAAGCCTTGGAACGGGTCTCACCTGGAAGCCTAAAACGCGGATGAAGGGCCATTTGCCGTAGTACTGAACTTGAGGCACCCCAGGCATTTGAATATCGCGCATGCACTGGTACTTGCACTCGCTCTCGCAGTCCCAGCGTAGAAGTCGGAGCTCTAACGGAGCCGTCACCATTCCGTCAGAATCAGCTTCAGGCGGACAGCCCGGAATACAGTGGTCGCCCACGCATCCTGTTTTCTGGCAGTCAGCCAGGCACGTCCTGAAGAATTGACATGACGAGGAACAAACGGGACGGAAATGAAAAATACAGGAAGGGGGGTAGCAAGATAAGTGAGGAAAAATGACAGGAAGGGAGGGCAAAATACAGAAACGAAGGTAAAAATATAGGGAGGAGAAGGAGGGAGCAGCGCAATAACGTGAAGGAGAGGGCTAACAGGAGAGGGAGTGTTCGGAGAGTACTGAAGGAGAACCACCGCTGCCATAACGTGAAGAGATTAAGGGTTTGATGTACTTCGCATTAATAGAATACCAGAGACACTAAAAGCGACAGCATAAAGAGCCACATTCCCGAGCGATATCGTTTTTGGAAGGTGGTCATAGATAGATTAAAACTTTCTGCCACTTATGCAAAGTGGTGGAGGTACAGAGCGATGTATTATGACCGGCAACATCAAGAGCTACATTCCCGAACGGTATCGATTTCGGACAGGAGCTGGATGGTCACATATATATTACAACTTCCTGTCACTCATGGTGGTGGATGTACAGAGCGTTGTATTATAGATGGCACGGAACCTGCAGGCACCACGCGACGACCTAGACTGCGGTACCATGCGACGACCTAAGGTGCAGTACATTGCAACAATGTAGGGAATACCGTGTGATGCTACGATCTCGAATATGGTACGATGCGGAACCCACAGTACGTTACTGAGCGGACAAATTGACCAGATGCAGAGTTAGGATATGCTGTCAGATTTGAGGTTACATGAGATAAGAAGTCCATTATTGCGTCACTTGAATGAGCTACCGATACGTGAATGAGCAATTGAGACTGAAAGCATCAACGGATCCACAGCTTCTGGAGGGGAAACGCGGGAAAACGACGCAGACTGAAGAAGGGAAACTTGATCGAAGTATGGGGCTAATACGAGCAGATCCACTTCAATTATCGCTTATGTGGGACTTGTCGCGACGGCCACAGATAGCTGATTATATATTGATCAGTTTTACGTCGTCGATTATCTGGTTGTAGGCTGCCAAGAACAACAGTCACTAGACTGAAGCATATCAGTCGTTTTTGTTGTTAGCTTAAACCATTTCTTATTTACATTTATTTTCTTACGTAACGAGCGGTGTCAGTGTTTTACTTACTGAAATGTCGGATCCGTATCGCCAGCGCTGGCCGAGACTGAAGTTAGCAACGAAACAACGGCTGCTATGAAAATGGCTGCTTGTAAACCCCGCCGATCCATCGTGTCACTGTGTTCTGCAAATGGACTAAGCTAATAAATTCCCAGTCCAAAACTAGCGTTTCCTTATTCAGTGGCGGTCTCAACAGCCACTAATAAGTCCCAACTCCTGCCACAACCGGCAAACCGGCAACATGAAACGAAGCACCTAATCCAAACAACTTCATAGATCACTCTGGTCTAGAGTGGAGATAAATTTTGGATCAATGAAACTTGGAGGGTTAGGAGAACTTGGAAGGTCTCGGAGGGGCTGCGAGGATTGGAGAAGAGCGAGGGAAGGTTGAGAACGTCTGGAAGGATTTCAGGGCATTTTGATCGGGGTGGAAGAATGTTCTCGATGTTTTGAATGGAACCAGCCTCGAGATTGTCGAACTAAGCGAAACTGGCTAAGGAGCTATGGCTGGCGGGAACACAAGCTGGCGGAAAAGACTGGCAATTCCGCATGCGATCTATTGGCGGAAATCCGTAGCCCAGATGGCGATCCGTCGACGCAACAAGTGGACAGATGTGAGTGGATGACATTGCGCCAATATTGGGAGGCCTGCCTGCTTGTAGTTGGCGGGAAAAAGTGACACGGACGAGCAGGATGGCCCGAAGGCCTGACAACGAATCATCGGACGGATATTGAAGCCAGACTTGATCCGACTTTGAGCACTTCGACACGACTCAGCTGTTCAAAGCCGAGCAAACCTTTCACTGATATTCATTGGTGTAACAAATCAGCTATCTGTGCTGACTGCAAAATCCATAAATGGTTGCTCACATTCCTATAAACTTGACTAGGGGCTGCTCTCTATTGTTGCGCAGCAGCTAATAGCTTCTCATACACCTGTCTAGCTGTTAGATCTTCGACCTGCCAGCACATTTAGCCAGGAAAAAAAAAGGAAAAAAATGGGACACAAACAATGAGAGGATCGAAAGAAGAGATGCCAAAGCTATTGGTGAAATATACATAATCAGCCTTTACAAATGATCCGCTGTTCGGTGCACAGCCTGCCCTGCATTTACACAAAAACGCAGCTGCAGCAGCACAGACCATGAGCATCTGGACTTGGGAGGACCACCCTTGCACATACACGGTTATACATGGTTACAGCTGCTGCTGCTGCAAGACATACCATGAGCATCTTGGCCTTGGAGGATCGCTGCAGCTCCGATGCACTGAGTGCAAGCGCTTACACGTACGAACAACATCTAATAACTACTCATGCACATACGCAGCTGTTGCAAAGCCTACCATGAGCATCTTGGACTTGGGGGACCATCCTCGCTGTACCCTCAGTGCAACGAACACATACACGTACGAACAGAACCGTAACGTCCCATACAGGGTTACATGGCGGTAACCGCCCCGCACCTACCATGAGCATCTTGGACTTGTGCGACCACCCTCGCTGCAGTCTCAGCTGCACCAGACGTAGCCCCAGCGTCTGATTGGGTGGGGTGGGGGAGGCAGGTGTTTGGCAGGTGTTGTGGGGGGAAGTGGGGAGGTGTGGGGGGGAGAGGAGCGAGACCACCCTCGCTGCAGTCTCAGCTGCACCAGGCTCAGCCCAAGCGTCTGATGGGGTGGTGGGGAGATGACAATCGCATGCAGAGGAGCAACGGCAGGAGTGGGGTTGAGGCAAGTGTTTTGGGGGGAAGTGGGGAAGTGCGGGGGGAAGAGGAGAAAGACCACCCTCGCTGCACTCTCAGCTGCACCAAGCCCAGCCCCAGCGTCTGATGGGGAGGAAAAGGAGCGGGAGGGGTGGGGAGAGGGAGGCTCACATAGCGGTTGCATGCACATGATTGAGATTTGAGAGGTTCCTAGACATGGCAAGAATTGGTCGACTTTTGGGTCGACTCAAAACTCGACTTATCACACACGGGGTGCGGAGAGGGAGGCTCACATAGTGGTTGCATGCACATGATCGAGGTTTTAGAGGTTCCTAGACATGGCATGGTTGTATGGCGTGGCATGGATGGCGTGGCATGGCTGTATGGCGTGGCATGGATGGCGTGGCATGGCATGTATGGCGTGGCATGTATGGCGTGGCATATATGGCGTGGCATGTATGGCGTGGCATGTATGGCGTGGCATGTATGGCATGGCATGGCATGTATGGCATGGCATGGCACTGATGGTATGTATGAGGCGCTACCATCCCACCTTGGCGAGAAACTCCATCAGCTCTGCACTGGCCTCATTGCCCCTGTGCGCCGATGACGATTGGTGAGGATGGAGTGGTACGGAGTGGTAGGGAGTGGTATGGAGGGCATGGCATGGCATGTATGCACTGCCATCTCACCTTGGCGAGAAACTCCATGAGCTCTGCACTGGCCTCATTGCCCCTGTGCGCAGCTGCTGTCACTGCCACTCGCACATCGTCTGCATTGATGCCTGGTAAGGATGGGGCAAGGGGTGGTGACAGGGGGTTTGGGGCTGGGTTTAAGACGTCTTAAGAAGTGCCCCCCTGTGCGCACATCGTCCTCGTTGTGCCCAGAAGTGTCACTGCCAAGAGTTCCTTAAGACGTGGCACATTGTCCGCGTTGATGCCTGGTGCGAGGGAAGAGGGCGCAATACATCCAATATGTGCAAAGGTGAAGCTGGATAATCGGACAGATTTGAGAAACTCCATCAGCTCTGCACTGGCCTCGTTGCCCCTGTGCGCAGCTGCTGTCACTGCCACTCGCACATCGTCCGCGTTGATGCCTGGTGCGAAGGAAGAGGACACAATACATCGATATATGCAAAGGTGAAGTTGTATAATCAGATTGGCAGATTTGAGACATATAAATCGACAATTAAACATATTTGAGAAACTCTTGGAAGAAGCAGCCTGATATTAAGAAGATTCAAACTCGGTTAAAGCTTGAATACAAAAGATTTTGAGAATTCACATGGGCGTGTCATAAACTTTCAATGCCTATTATTCCTAAAAGTTGACACAGTAACGAAGTGAAAGAGGTGACAAATTGACAGAGCAAGAGCGTGACTCAGTGAGTGATAAAATTGTGAGAGTAGGAGAGCGAAAGCGTGACAGTGTGAGAGAGTGACAGAGTGAGAGAGTGAGGGCGTATCCATGTTCAGGTCATGGGCACTGTTCCGGGCATCCGCAATTTGCGGATGACCCAAACAACATAAAACGCCACTTTGGGTCCTCCGAACTCATGCGGCCTCCAAAGAGCCGCGAAGGTTTTCGCGCCAAAATCACGCAGTCGTGAACAGTCGCATCCAATGGAGGGATGCCAGAACAGTTCGAAACATCCTTAGCAAGACCCATGCGAAACTACGCGAAACCCACCGGAAAAACACAACCGTCAAAATTCCCGGCGTGAATCCCCAAATGTTGGGAGCGCGACGCGGAAAATTCTTTAACCACTCATGGTCACTAGGGTCAATTTGCCGAGTGGTTGGGTGCAGAGGTGTAAGACGTGGGACATTGCCCACTTGTGACACTCGACTGACGACCGCCAAATTCTGGCAGTAAATCCAGAATCGTGCAACCAGGTGATTGGTTGGGGGTGGGTCGTGCACGTCAGTCGCCCAACACCTGCACATCGACCCAAAGCTGGGGCCGCGCGCGGCTCGGCAGCCCACTTCGGGTCATGCGCAAATTCCGCATGACCCAAACAGCAGCCAGAACAGTGCTCAAGACCCGAACATGGATACGCCCTGACAGAGTGAGAGAGTGACAGTGTGAGAGAGTGACAGTGTGAGAGAGTGACAGTGTGAGAGTGACAGTGTGAGAGAGTGACAGAATGAGAGAGTGACAGAATGAGAGAGTGACAGAATGAGAGCTTGGAACACGGCGTACGAAGCACAGCAGAGCGTTGAGCCCGTGTGGGTCCAACCGAGACTCATGCATCTAAACGCTTTACGTATTCAAAGGTGTGTGAAATAAACGTGTTTTGAGACGTCTCAAAACGAGACTCATGCATCTAAACGCTCTACGTATTCAAATGTGTGTGAAATAAAATTGATGACCTTGCTTAAACGCCCATCACATCACATCCCACATGAAAAATGAATGCGGCGTTACTGCAGCATGTAGTGTAAGAACCTTCACCGACTTGTGAGTAAGGGAGCATTAGAGTGAGAGCGTGACTGAGTGGGAGTGAGAGTGAGCGAGTGACGTACGAAGTACAGCAGAACGCTGAGCTCTATCCTCCACCTCTATTGCCACCTGCACCAACCCGCTGTCCAGCTCCTGAATGCACGGGGGTACTGGCGCATCCTGAGAGGTGCATAAGAGCAGCACAGCAGACAGCGGTGGGAAGAAGGGTTATAAGAACACGTTTAACCCTATCCTCCACCTCTATTGCCACCTGCACCAGCCCACTGTGCAACTCCTGGATGCACGGGCGGCACTGGTGCATCCTGGGAGGCACACAGAAAGAGAGCGGAAAAAGAACGGAACAGAACAGAGCGGAAAACAGTCATTTAGAGGAAGCATGAGACGCACATTGCCTTCCACTCCACCCCCGCTGCTACCTGCACCAACCCGCTGCCCAGCTCCTGGATGCAGGGCGGCACTGGTGCATCCTGGGAGGTGGAGACACCTCCCCTGCCACCTACACCAACCCGCTGTCCAGCTCCTGGATGCAGGGCGGCACTGGTGCGTCCTGTAGGGTACGTAACAGAGTAGAGGAAAGGAGGAGGCACGGGAAGAAACAGCAACTTAGCAGAGCATCTCAAAACAGTCATTCGAAGGAAGCATGGGAAGCACGTTGCGCCATACCCTCCTCTCACACATGAAGGGAATGCGGGTTCACCCCAACTGCCGAGGTGACTTTTGAGTCGACTCAAAAGTCACCTCGTTACTATGGCACACGACATTCGTTCAGAGGGAGCATGGGAAACACGTTGCGCCATACCCTCCTCTCACCCATGAAGGGTATGCGGGTTCACCCCAACTGCCACCTGAACCAAACTGTGCGGGTGTCAGCAGGAAGGCTAAAAACCTTGGCTCCATCCATGCTCTCCCCGCTGCGCTGCGTTTACCTGCCTGGCTGTTACGTTTATGTGAGTACCTTAGTCTTGGTTCTTGAGTCGACTCAAAAATAGACTCATTACACTTGGTGTCGGCAATAGCGTCAGTGAGCGCATCAGCAGGAAGGCTAAAAACCTTGGCGCCCTCCATTCTCTCCTGGCTGCTCTGCGTGTACCTGCCTGGCTGCTCTGCGTGTACCTGCCTCTCTGCTATACCCCACCATCCCTGCTGTGTGTGTACATTGCTGTCGTGAGGAAGCGATACCTTAGGCTTGTTGTCGGCAGTGGCGTCACTGAGCGCATCAGCAGGAATGTAGACGAATTTGGCGCCCTCCATGCTTTCCTCGCTTTCTCTGTGTGCAACTCGCCGCCGTGCGCATGTGTGTATTCATGTACGCGAGGTAGTAAGTGCGAATACCTTAGGCTTGGTGTCGGCAGTGGCGCCAGTGAGCGCATTAGCAGGAATGTAGATAACCATGGCATGGCGTCATGTCATCCATGCTCTCCTCACTGCTGTCTGTGCCCCTCGCCCCTATAAAAACACGTTGCTGCTGCTGTGCGTGTGAGTAAGTGATTGAGTAAAAACGAGTACCTTAGGCTTGGTGTCAGCAGTGGCGCCAGTGAGCGCATCAGCAGGAATGCACACAAACTTGGCGCCCTCCATGCTCTCCCCGCTGCTCTGCGTGTACCTGCCTGGCTGTTACTTTTATGAGGAATGTAGACAGACTGCGTGTTCCTGCCTGCTCTGCGTGTACCTGCCTGGCTGTTACGTTTATGAGGAATGTAGACAGACTGCGTGTTCCTGCCTGCTCTGCGTGTACCTGCCTGGCTGTTACGTTTATGAGGAATGTAGACAGACTGCGTGTTCCTGCCTGCTCTGCGTGTACCTGCCTGGCTGTTACGTTTATGAGGAATGTAGACAGACTGCGTGTTCCTGCCTGCTCTGCGTGTACCTGCCTGGCTGTTACGTTTATGAGGAATGTAGACAGACTGCGTGTTCCTGCCTGCTCTGCGTGTACCTGCCTGGCTGTTACGTTTATGAGGAATGTAGACAGACTGTGTGTTCCTGCATGCTCTGCGTGTTCCTGCCTGCTCTGCGTGTTCCTGCCTGCTCTGCGTGTTCCTGCCTGCTCTGCGTGTTCCTGCCTGACTCTTACGTTTATGAGAGCACCTTAGGCTTGGTGTCAGCAGTGGCGCCAGTGAGCGCATCAGCAGGAATGCACACAAACTTGGCGCCCTCCATGCTCTACCCGCTGCTGTGCGTGTGTAGTTCACAGGTGCGTGTGTATACTTGAGTAAGCAAGTGAGTAAAGTGTGGATACCTTAGGCTTGGTGTCGGCAGTGGCGTCAGTGAGAGCGTCAGCAGGAATGTAGACGAATTTGGTGCTCTCCATGCTCTCCTCGCTCCGATAAGCCACCATCACCCCGCACTCCCCACAACCCATGCGATACTGCCTCTCCACCTTGCCCTCCCCTCTGTACAAGCGGGAAAATGAGAAAAGAACAAGGGGAGGAGGAGAGAGGGGATGATGGGTACAAGAATGCACCCTCCTTCCTTATTTCTCGAGTTGATTCAAAACGCCTTCCATGCTCCCCTCACTGCGATACGCCACCAGCACCCCGCCATGCTCCCCTCGCTGCGATACGCCACCAGCACCCCGCACTCCCCACATCCCATGCGGTACTGCCTCTCCACCTTGCCCTCTCCGCTGAATGAGCGGGGAGAGGGTGGGGCGTTAGGGGGGGGCGGGGGGGGAGAGAAAAGTGGGTGAGGGTAGGGTGCAGGGGTTAAGGTCCATTTATCATACCGTACCATCACTTTGCATTCCCCACACCCCCTCCTTGCTCTCTTCTTGAGCATCAGGTGAGGCGCACGAGGTGCCAATGGTGTGGAGCGTGCTTTATTGTGCCCCATCACACTCAACCGCACTCAAATCACACTCTACCACGCTCAACCACACTCTATCACCACTCACCGCTGGAGCAGCTGCTTGCCGGTCTCCATTGCGTTAAAGGCGCATGAGGTGCTTCTGGTGTATAGAACGGGAGGGTGGTTGACTGCGGTAAAGTGTGGTTGAGTGTGGTGGGCATGCGAGAGACTCACCACCGCTTCAGCCTAAGTTGGAAAAAACGCGTTTTGCGTTTTGTACGATTTTGTATAAACGCTAGAGTATAAACGCAAAACGCAGGCCATGAGGGGTCTGGCACGCACAAGAATACGCTCGCCCGGGCAGGAAAAAAGTTTTTCCCGGGCAGATTTTTGGGGTAAGAGGTGGGGATGGGGGCTGTTGTAACCCCCATCCTCTTTTTATTAATATGAAAGTTACAGGAAAAAAACCCCTTAAAATTAATCTCCCACTACAACTTCCCCCACCTTAGTACTCATCGGCCATCACATCATCCTTCCCCCTCCTCAGGTTCCTCCACCTCCTCCTCGACGTTGTTGCCAGCCAGAGTGGGGGGCTCCTCGATGTTTCCCTTCACCACCCCTTGCCCTTCAGGGACCTTGTGCCAATTGTGCACAACCTGCCAATTGTGCGTCACGTACACGAGGTCCCGAAGCTTCTCCGCGCCGAGACGGTTCCGGCGTGCCGTATGCACGGCATCAAACTTTGCCCAGTTCCGCTCGCATGGTGACGCGGACACCGGCTGCGTGAGCATGCAGCAAGCAAGCGTGGTGAGCTCGGGATGATCGGTCCCGTGCCACGACCACCAGGCCACCGCGGTCATCTTGCCCTCCTTCACTACCACACGGTCGGCAATAGCGTCGGGCATGCCGAAGCAACCCGTCAGGTTTAAAAAGGTAGTGAGGCCTTCCTGGATGACGAGGGAGGCGCGGCGCTCAGCCCCGTCCTTCCTGGTGATGGTCTGGTCGTCGAAGTGCTTGGACACGAACTTCTTGAAGACCCTCATGCACTCGGGGTCATGGCAGAAGATGCCCTCTTCCTGGTTGGTCGGGTTGATGATGCAACCAACCAAGTGCATGTCGCACGCCAGCCCGTTGTCCCAGCGGTCCTGCACGATCTCTCCAATATCCCCCACCTCTCCGCTTGTCAGGAACCCTTCCGCATGCTCGTCGAGGAAGTCGCGGATGTCCTCGGTGAGCTGGAGAATGAGGTTGTAGAGACGACCCATCATGCCCTTCGCATCGGAGTCCGTCTTGCGCATGACGACGAACGGCAGCTTCATCACCTTAGCGAAGAACTCGGCGAGCGTCCACCACGTGTCATCAAGGATGTTGACTGTGAAGGTATCTGCCCCTACCCTCTTTGCAGTCGTTGTCCAGTTGCGCCACTCATCGCTGAGGACCATCTACGTCAAGCCGGCACACACTTCACAGAGGCGGTTGATGGCGATGTAGTTGGTGCCGAATCAAGTTCCCGCAGGCTTGAGAACCTGCTTCCCCTTGCCGCCGTTCACGAGCTTGCTCTGCATGTATCCGCAGGTAAAGTGATGGTTGCGGACGAACGAGATGAGGGTGTTCCCGCGCGTGACGATGTCCTTCGCCCATCCCATTTTCCCGATGTCCTCCATCACGAGATCAAGGACATGGGTCGCGCACGGGATGTGTTCAATGTGGGGATACTCCGTCATCAACTCCCTGCAGGCCGCCACGTAATTGGACCCGCCGTCAAAACACAAGGCCACGACATTCTCGAGGCCAACCTTCTCGATGACGCGGCGTAAGATGCCCGCGATGTAGCCGCCGGTATTCATCTCCATCTTGGTGTCAATCGACTCCACGAACACCGCTCCGCTATCGCTGATGAGGAGGACATTGGCTTGCGGGCGGCCGGCCTTGTCAGAGAACATGTCGCTTGCCACGGTGACACCGTCACGGCGCCAACTTGCTGAGATTGGAGCGAGAGCCGCCTCAATGCGCTGGCGCCACTTTGCAAGACCGGCTCCACCGATGTAGCGTCTCTTCGGCGCTATGTAATTCGGCCCCGCGCGCTTGATGCTGGAGACTACATTCCGCCACGGTGGGTGGTCCGCGTGATGCTCCGGCACATGAAGAGCGGCGAAGAAGAGGCATATGGCCTCGTCCGCAGCCTGGTTCGCGCACGCGGCGTCATCGCCGTAGAAGTCGGTCATTCGACTCTTCTTCTTGTCTGAACCGCCGTTGACTGGGTCGACCGCCGCAAATTCAGCCGCACGCTTCGCTTCACGGGCCTTCAACTTGGACTCGTAATGCGCCTTCACGGTGTCACGTGCAATCTTCGGCGCTGCAGTGCAGTGATGCACTTCGCGACGGCGCATGCCGTTCCAGCCGGTGATATGCTGCGCGCAGCGGTAAACCCCGCCAACGAACTTGAAGTTGCACTAGGCACACACCTTGGTGCCGTTCTCGCCAACGCTATCGGCCGGACATTTTGTAGTGGCGGTACACAGCGTGCTTGCTGTCCATAGAGACCAAAGCCGTAACGGAAGAGGTCCCTCCAACGGAACTACCAGGAGCCTCTGAGGTGAAGAACGAGAACTAGTTGCTGTAGGAGTAGCAGCCATGGTTGCTGGGGAGAAGAGGTAGCTAGAATATGAAGAGAGAGAATGAATATCAAGTGAACAAATGCCCCTCTTTAAGCCTGGGAGATTGTGTTGGGCTGAGCTCCCTACCAATGAAGTAGTGGTTGAAGGGGGTGGTGGAATGCTGTGGCTTAAAGGGGTGTGAAACGGTAAAGGGGTGGGGTTGAGGAGGTTTGGAGCACAAAATTCAAAATTCGAGTTCAGTTCGCGACATCTGAGACTCGAAATCGACATCGCCACGTCGCGAGCTCCAGATTGAATTTTTTTTTTTTTTTTTTTTTTTTCGGTCTGCTCGAAATTAAACTCGGCGAATTTTCAAAATATACGCACCGAACGAATTCGTTAAGAGTATAGACGCAAAACGCAAAAGCAAAGTAGCGTATATTCCAACTTAGGCTTCAGCAGCTGCTTGCCAGTCTTCATGACGTTGACTTGCATGAGGTGCCACCACTCTCAACAGCACTCCACCACCGCTCACCGCTTGAGCAGCTGCTTGCCGGTCTCCATGACGTTGAGTCGCATGTGGTGATTTGCTTGCTCCATCACCATCGCCCCATCCATCCGGTAGCTCTGCCAGATGAATGTCCTCCTGTCACCACTCACCACCGCATTCAACCACCACTCAACCGCACTCCGCCACACTCTACCACTCCCAATTGCACTCCACCCATCCGTCCTGCGCCGCGGCAGCTCTGCCACCACTCTCAATTGCACTCAACCACTGCTAACTGCTTCAGGAGCTGCTTGCCGGTCTCCATGACGTTAAGGCGCATGAGGTACTTCTCTTTCTCCATCACCATCGCCCCGTCCGTCCTGCGCCGCAACTGTCTGCATGGCACCACTCTCCACCGCACTCAACCGCACTCAACCGCACACTCAACCGCACTCAACCACACTCAACCACATTCAACCGCACTCAACTGCACTCAACCACCGCTCACCGCTTGAGCAGCTGTTTCCCAGTCTCCATGACATTAAGGCGCATGAGGTGCTTCGCTTTCTCCATCACCATCGCCCCATCCGTCCTGCGCCTCGGTAGTTGTGCCAGCTGACTGTCTGCCTGCCACCACTCTCAACTGCACTCAACCACTCTCAACCACACTCAACCGCACTCTACCACCACTCACCGCTTGAGAAGCTGCTTGCCAGTCTCCATGACATTGAGTCGCATGAGGTGCTTAGCTCGCTCCATCACCGTCACCCCATCCATCCGTCATGCGCCGCGGCAGCTCTGCCAGCTGACTGTCTGCCTACCACCACTCTCAACCGCACTCAACCTATCTCAACCACACTCAACCGCACTCTACCACCACTCACCGCTTCAGAAGCTGTTTGCCGGTCTCCATGACGTTAAGGCACATGAGGTACTTCGCTTTCTCCATCACCATCGCCCCATCCGTCCTGCGCCGCAGCAGCTCTGCCAGCTGACTGTCTGCCTGCCACCACTCTCAACCGCACTCAACCACTCTCAACCACACTCAACCACACTCTACCACCACTCACCGCTTGAGCAGCTGCTTGCCAGTCTCCATGACATTGAGTCGCATGAGATGCTTAGCTCGCTCCATCACCATCGCCCCATCCGTCCTGCGCCGCGGCAGCTCTGCCAGCTGACTGTCTGCCTGCCATGCCATGCCCACACCCATACATGCATGTGCAAGCCACAGCGTTTTCAGCAGCACCCATGCAGCAGTACACCGTTCTGGAGCATACCCGTTATAAACACCTACCTGTTATAAGAACATGCGCGCCGCACTGCTTTCAGTAATACACGATCAGCTCCCGCGTATCTGCCAGCGGGTCCTTGGGATATAACAGCTTACCAGTTATAAGAACATACCCGTTATAAACACCTGCCTGTTATAAGCACGTGTGCGCCGCATTGCTTGCAGTAGTACACGATCAGCTCCTGCGTATCTCCCTGCGGCTCCGCGTCCTCGCTAGAGTACGTGCGCGTCGTGCGCTTCGGCATGCTCGCGGCTTAACGCTTCAAGATCGTTATATCCCCAAAAAAGACAGGCCCTCTACTGGGTGTAGAACGTGGAATATTTTCGCTATATAAATTGCTAGAAAATAGATAACTACTACACGCACTGATATTCACCACGGAGTCACGCCTTGGCTGGTGGAAGCCGAAACGAGCCACTACGAAATTAGATCACGCGAGCATATACGGAGAAATCACCGAAATCACCGATAGAATCACACCCTCCCCGTGGTATCAATCAGCTCAGGATTCGAAAATCCCCACCGAGCTCTGAGACGCCTCAAAGGTCGATGGTCGATATGGACACGTCTCCTCCACCCAATCAGCTCAGAATTTGAGAACGAAACTCAGGACAAGAGTGCCAGTGAGTTAGCTGCGTTAAAACTGCATTGTTCTGGAATCTCTTTTGTAACGGCACACCCTAGTAACACTCTCTGAATGCTAGACCACCCTGATAGCACGCCCTAATTGCTAGACCACCCTATGAACACCCTCTGAAGGCTGCAGGCCTCTCTAGCGCCACGCCACCAGAACGCGTTGGCACAGTCGATGAACGGTACACGACTGTGCCAGTCAACACGCACAGTCGCGCGCTGACGGCTAATAAGGTACGAGAAATGAGAACGAATGAAGGCAGCCACGTCTTAGATGGATAAACGAGCAGATGTAGAGAAATAGTTATTACGCGGCAGTACCGCCTTGGGTGCTGTTTGTAGTCCGAAGCGCTGCTGCTGGCGATTGCGATACTCCACGCACCAGAGTCATCTGGAGCGGTTCACTTCGGTGCTTCACGATCTTACGAGATGCGGTGGGAAACCTCGTTTCAGGAAAGTGAAACTGTGTAATGCTAGCTAACTAACTAATTAAACACAAGCCCATTGGCCATGCAATTTACCCAAAGCACCCCAATCATTTCCAGATAAGAACTACCTACCAAGTACCATGCCTACACCATCCAACCTTGGTTTAAGACTCTGGAACCTTACCTCCAACATGTAGGTACAAGGGCCAATCAGGCTTCAAACAGCCTCCTGCCAGCAGATGCACATCCCCCTGTATCTACCCAACCATCTATTGACACATGAACCAAAAGCACAGTGTGCCATGCAGTCAACATGGTACAGTTTCATTTCCAGTGCACTCCCATGCAGCAGCAGGCATTGTTGCACCTGCTTGTGTCGCCAGGTATTCAAGGCGCCTTTTGAGGCGCCTCAAAAGTCCTCAAATGTGCCGCCAGGTATTCAAGGCGCCAAAAATATCATCTCCATCCTGAAGGAGAGGGTGTGCTGCGTGCAGTGCTGCAGTCGTCATGGCATCCTCACGCACCCAGCAGCAGCATGTTCACATGCACCAGACGTTGCTGCAGAGCTGTGAACATCGCCAGGATTTCGAGTTGTTAGAATCGCCACCCGCTGCTGCTTCTCCGCTTCCCCTTGTAAAGCCAGCTGCCGCATCCCTTTCGCCAGCAGTCCCACCACCTCTGCTCCTCCTCCTCCTCCTCCTCTGCCGCCTGGCAGGGCGCTCCTGCATTGCTGGTGGAGACAAGTGGCACGGCAAGGGGTCCTGAACGGCCCTTCATCTAGTTTCAGTGGTTGGTTCACTGACATGAAAGCCACTGGTGCATTTTGCACAATGGAGCTGAACGAAGAAGCAGCAGAAGCAGCAGAAGAGGCAGCAGAAGCAGCAGAAGAAGCAGCAGCAGCAGCAGCTTCAGTACGAGTTGCAACAGCTGCACCAGCACCAGAAGCAGCAGCAGCCGCAGCAGCAGTAGGAGGTATTCCATCTCCCAAACGCTCTGCAGAGACAGCAACGCGGCGGGAGTAAGCAGCAGTCCACTTGGCAGCCACGTATTGGTGCCTGCGCCACGGTGGTACGTGCATCCCCTGTGCGTGGATCGACTGCCACACCGCCTCGCACAAAACTTTCACCAGCTGGTGCAGCCGGTCCGGGCAGCCCACAAAAAAAAGTGGGGTCAGCTGGAGGATGAAATCGTAGTGCAGTGTGCGATGGGCGATTTGGAACTGTGCCCGGAAATCGGGGTCGATTATTAAACGGCTGGGCAGACGGTTGGGGGAGGATGGTTGAAGAATGACGTCGCAGTAGTCATGGCAGCCTGTGATTAGGGGAAGAAAGAAGGGGAGGTAGGGAGGGGAGAGGGCGGGGGGAGGGGTGAGGTGAGGTGAGGCGAGGGGAATAGAGGAGGGGGAGATGGAAAGGAGGGGTGGGGAGACGAGGATGATAGGACGAGAAACAAAAAAGAGTGGAAAGAAAAAATAGTGGATAGATAAAAGAAAGGCCAGAGCACAGCCACCGAGATAGGGCCCACTCTGGGTACAGGATAATGTCACATACTCATGGAAGCCTGAAACCAGGGGAAGAAAAACGGGAAGGAGGGAACCGGAGAGAGGGGGGGGGAGGGGGAGGGGAGTTGGGGGAAGGGGGAGGAAGGGAGACAGAAGGAAGTGCAGGAGGGTGAGAGGACATGGATGATTTGTGAGAGACGAGTGATGCATGCGGAATGGCGAGTGAAGCTTGTATGCAGGAAAAGGCGCGAGCAGGAAGCGAAGGGGAAGTGGCAGGAAGTCAAGACAATGCCAGAGCAAGTGAGATAGAGTCCAGTTCATGGCGAATCATCCGCATATAACTGCATATCATTTTGACTCGCAAGTATACGAAAAGAACAGAAAGAAAATCAAAGAAAAGGAAACAAAAAAAGAGGAAGGAAAATGAACTCAGAAGAAGGAGAAGAAGAAGAAGCCTTATATGGTGCAACAGTACGAAAGCTGGCACTGTAAGTCTCTCACCCTTGAATAATTCCAGTGTGCATGGTAGATTGACTCGATTGACCAGTCACTGCAGCTTTGCTCTTACCATGAGGGAAGCCGTTGAAGCACTTCCAGTGAGCATGGCACACTGCAGCATCGTATCCCCTCGCCTGCAACTTTTGAACAACCAGGTTGTGTATGCTGGCGCTGCTGCTGCTGCTGCTGCTGCTGCTGCTGCTGCTGCTACTGTTGCTGATACTTCTGGTGGTGATAGCGCTGCTACTGCTGCTGGTGTTGCTGATGCGGCTGCTGCCGGTGCTGCTTCTGCTACCGTCAACAGGTGTGGTGGTGGGAGCGTGTTTCATGGCAGCAGAGACGATCTCAAGCACTGCATACTCCTCTGGCGTCTCACAACAGCTGAGGGTCTGCTATGGGGAAGAGTGGAGGCGGGAGGGGGAAGAGGGACGGGGAAAGAGGGTAGGGGGAAGGGGAAAAGGGGAAGAGGGAAGTGGGGAGTAGGGGCGGGTGGGGAAATGATGCACGAACAGGGAAGCACACGAGCAGACGGATGCGGAATGAGACAGGTGTAGTGATGGGAGCATGTTTCATGGCAACAGAGACGATCTCAAGCTCTGCGTTCTCTTCTGGCGCCTCACGGCAGCTGAGGGTCTGCTATGGGGACATCAACAGAGAGGAAGCGGGAAAAGAATGTGGGATGAATAGGAAATACGCACAAACAAGCGCACACAGGAAAATACAAGAGAGACAGACGCATGATTCAGAAGAACAAACGAAATGAGGTGGAGAAACAAAGGGAACGCAATAACATGGGTGGTTGAGTGCCGAGACAGCTCAAATGCAGCGCGGAACAACGATAAGGAAAAAACAAAACAGAAAGAAAAAAAAAAAGGAGAAAGATTAGCAAGACTGGGATATTTCTCCCTCTCCGGATATTGCTCCTTCTCCTTCTCCAGCTACAACTGCGAGCCTACAACCTCAGGCTTGCACCCTCAACCTTGCACCCTCCACCATAAGGCTTCAAGTTTTACTGACCTCGACCAATGAAGCAAGGCGTTCAAGGCTGTCCGATGCTCCAAATGCCCGAGACTCTGTAACCCGTCGTCCATGGGGATGGTTACGCGCGTTCGCAACCGCTGCTTCTGCTGCTGCTCTTGCTCCTGCTGCTGCTGCTGCTGCTGCTGCTGCTGCTGCTGCTGCTGCTGCTCCTGCTGTTCCTCCTTTCCCTGTTGCCGCCTTCCACGTCTGCCAGGTCCCGCAACACCCGCGGTCGTCATCGCCAGTAGCGTCGCAGGCAACGTCACAAGAAACGTCACAGGCATCGCAGGGGTCGCAGGCATCGCACTCGTTCTCGAGATAGTCACACACCATTTCGCCAAGGCACAGGGAGTCACACGAGGTGCCGCTGCTGCTGCCATGGGTCGAACTGTAACAGCAAGGAACAAGAAATCGTCGATTTAGGATTCTACAAAAAGTAGGGGAGAAGATAGAACGAGAGAAGCAAGGGAAGAAGGCGAGCGGTACGTAAGCTGACGGTCCAAGATTGGAACGTTACTCGCTGTCGAAGCGGCCAGAGCATGGCCATAGTGGTAACCCGCCGAAGCAAATTCGGCGAAATCGATGCGCGCATTTGCCGGTCGGACGATCGGATTTCACTGACTGACCTGTTGCAACTGCCGTCGGGCTTCTTGCAAGGAGCGTGGTTCACGTGGCATATCAAGTGACGGCCGGCCGGCATAACAACCAGGGTCGACTCGCGAAAGGCAGTCGTTTTCGTCTCAGCAACAACAGATTCCATTGGTCGAGGCTGGATCTGATCGGTTGAAATTTCCGCAAACGCGATGTTACTGGTGATCGAAGGGAGAGGAGGAAGGAGATGGTTGGTTACGGCAACTTTTCCAATGGACGGTTGGAAATCGGCCTGGCAGGTGGAGCTCGTGTCTAGGTTAATAACGCTGAGGAGCCCCGACATAGTTCCGAAAACGAACCGAGTATAGGAATGATCGCGAGTGCCGAAAAAGACGGAAGTTTCTAATTTCCTGGCCGCTTTGAGATGGCTAATTCGGCGAAGAAATGCGACTCAAGTAACTGAAGACAAGTGTGTGATCCCCCAAACATGCGAGAGCAAAATATGCCTCCGACCTAGAACAAAATGCAATGGAGAACTATTACCAAAGCATACTTGCAAAGAAGGATATATGCCAGCAATAACAGGAGTATTCTGCATGGTTGGATTCATGGATCTTGGAATCCTACCCTTCTGGTGCTGTTCCCTAGGAAGGCCAGAGTGGGACCAGCTAAGCCAATCACCCAAATCCATGGCTGCTCTGGATGGGGGAAACCGAAGTTCCAGAAGCGGTTGCGTAAGCGGCAAGGTTTCTGGTTCCCATTGGAAACAGATGGAACGAAGCTACAGACGCTGAGGTGGACGGCCATGGTTACCGCATGCCTCCCAGCAGTGGAATCCATGGCTGCAGTTCAATGCAGATAGAAAGAAGCTGCTGTACTCGTACAGCCAGCTGCTGCTATTTGGACGGTCATGGTTTCTTGTTTTGGTGGGATGATTTGAACTGTCACCGTACTGGAAAGTATTGTAACACACAGTATTGTATAGAGCCGCTTGTCACCCTGTCCCTGGTGAAATCAGGAAGAACCTGGATCTCCTTGGCGGGAATACCTCGCCAAATTCGAACATCCAGGCTGACATTGAAGCGCGTGCTAACGTACGTACGTTCGAGACGAGGATGAAACAAAATGCTACTGTACCTTCATGGTAGACGATTCTGACCACTCGAGAAAGAGCGGTGGAGTTGTTCCGGATAATGCTGTCATTCAGAATGTGGAGTGGATGTGGAAACCGCATGCAAGTCACCTGGCCTGAACCCTGACCGACGCGTTGGAATCTACTGCACTGTAGTAAGTTGCGGCTCGGAAAGTTTTCAAATATTGCTCACAAATTCACATCATAGAGAAATTGGGCTCACATGCGTAAGCCAATTGTAAGAAATTTTCTCGATATTCCTTAGCGCACCCTGCAACACCGCGTACAGCAGCAGCCGTTGTTCGCCCGTTACTTGCTAACGGGGCTTCGCCGACTTCGCGCGCCCTGTTTTCCCAAACCTCACACTGCTCGACCGGTCGTGTCGGCCTACGCTTCGGGACTAGCCCGAGCCTCGCTTCCAGCGTAGCACTAGCTAGCTCGCACGCACCGCGTTACCGTTTGCATGTTTCGCATATAAATGTTCGCTCATGCCTTCGCTCATTTTTTTTACTTGCTTGACACCTTAGTGCAATTCTCGCTACCTCGATTCATTGCACCCGTAACACTTGGTTATCACAGCCTCTTTATCTTCTGACCGCGCATCTCTGCACCCCAAGAAATCAACTTTTGATTTTTCACTCGAAGGGACTCACGCACCTTAGCCCCTAGGAGCCGCTGTCATCGCGTTCTTATGTAAACACGTGCAGCCACGACTGCGCCTAGACTAAGCCGAGCCGACGTCCCTCGTAATGGCTGAGCACATCGATGTCGCGACCCTCACGCAGGAGCACATGAACAAACTGCTGCGGCAAATCCGCGAAAGCTCTGAAGAAATCGCGGCGCTGACGGCAGAACGCACATCCATGCAAAACGACCTCGTACGCCGCAAGTGATGGCGTCGTCCGCCATGACGGAGACGACGACCACAGCACGACACACCCCGACGCGACGAGTGCGGCCAGGAATCAACCGCGAGTCACTATTTCGGTGCCAGCCGGCGAATCAACCTTACCGTTGCCGATGCCGCTGAAGCCGCAGCGTCCGTCATGCTTTGACCCAAGTCAGCAGGGTGGTCCTACCGTTCAGGCATGGCTCTTCACGTTGAACGTTTTCTTCGACGCGAACTACGTCTCGGAGGATACGGCGAAGATTCGTTACGCCGTGTCGTTGCTGCGAGGACCCGCCATGGACTGGTGGCGTGTCATCGTCACGAAGATGGTGGACTACGCGACTCTACCGACACGGGAAGGACAAACCGGACCCTGGGCGCCGTCGTATTTCGTGGAGGTGCCCCAGTATCGCACGTGGGACGCGTGGTGCGCAGGTCTGCGCGCTCGTTTCGAGCCAATTGCGGCTTCGATCGCGGCGCGACAGAGGCTCCGCACTTGGAGCCAATTGCGGGTTTCTTGCGCTATGCGAGCAGGTGGGATACATGCATGACAGTGAGCGCATCGAGCACTACATCGGCAGCCTGAAGCAGGACATCGCTCGGTAATCCAGCTTCGCGGCGTCATCGATTTTCAAGAGATTCTCGCCATGGCGGAGAAACTCGATTTCTTCTACCGACCGAGACCGGGGTCCTACGGGAGCAGCAATTGGGGACATCGGTCTCGTGGGACGAACGAGGGCGCTACGATACGTGCCGTCGCCGCAAATGCCGCTGCCGCACCGTTCAAAGGGCGCTGCTTTGCGTGCAATCGGCCGGGACACCGTAAGAGCGAATGCCCGGAAAACGCTAAGGGAAAGGGGGAAGCTGAGCAGCAGAAAAAGACCAAGCAGCAGGGAAACGCTAGGAGTCAGTAGCAGACGGGCCCTTTACTGACAGGTCACGCCGCTCGCCCGACCCGACCGACCCTCACCGAGTGATTGTGCCGGTTCACGCAATCGACCACACCCAGCCGAATAAGGAGGGTACTACGGTAGACAGCCCTATACTACTTAGTGGGAAGATCGGGACGGACTTAGTTAAAATCTTCGTAGACAGAGGGGCCAGCCACAGTCTTAATAACACTGCCACAGCACAAAAACTGCGACTGCCACTGGACAGATGCTTACCTGAGATCGACGCAAGACTGGTCGACAGCACGCCTCTGGCCATACGGGAACGTATGGACCGAGTTCGGATACGATGCGGGGGTAACTTCACGTTTAGCCAAGAAATGCTCGCAACGACCCTCGACGGATCCGACATTTTACTCGGGCGTGATTGGCTGCGACGACACAATCTGCGAATCAATTGGACGACGGGTGACTGCACTGTGCGAGTGAACGGTAACAACATCGCCTTACCTCGCTGGGGCTCACCTGAGTCTTCGTCGGTGCATGTCAACGTGATCACGATGAAACGCGCCGTAGCGGCAGGAGCTGACGTGTACGCGGTTGACATTCGGGAAGCCGAGGCAGCAGACAAAGGAGGGGATTTACAGAAACTGCTAGCCGACGTACCGAGTGATCTGGCAGCACTGCTGAAGCGGTACAGTGATATCTTCCCGGACGACTTACCGACGGGACTGCCACCTCAACGACCGCAAGACCACAGGATCGAGTTAGAACCGGGGGCACAGCCAACAGTACAGCGACGGTTCTGACTGACCCAACCCAAACTGGACGAACTGAGGAAGCAGCTGGATTACCTGCTCGAGAAGGGGTTCATTCGCCCTAATTCGTCGCCCTTCGCAGCATCGATACTGTTCACACCGAAAAAAGACGGGGGTTTTCGCATGTGCATAGACTACAGAGCACTGAACATCGTTACCATAAAATCCCGTTACTCCATCCTGCGAGCCGACGAACTGATCGACCAACTGCGGACAGCCCGGGTTTTCTCGAAAATCGACCTTTGGGGAGGTTACCACCAGATTCGCGTCAACCCACCCGACTGCCCTAAGACAACCTTCCGAATACGCCACGGATCCTTCGAATACACGTTCATGTCCTTCGGAGTGACCAACGCCCCCGCCACTTTTCAAATGACCATGAACGAAGCCTTCCGCCCGCTTTTAGATAAGTGCGTCATTGTGTACCTTGAGGACATACTGATTTACAGCCCCGACAGAGCACAGCACTTACAGGACATCGAAGCAGTTTTTAAGAGACTGAGTGAGAACCGCCTACTTGTCAAATGTTACATCTGCTACAGTTTATTTAGGCTGTAGTGGGGTAGTTACTATGGGGTACAGAAAGTTTAGGGTTTCCTACTTGTACCCAACCCTTTCCTAGTGCAATCACTTCTCTCATTTGACATGGTATTACGAGCCTAGGTTAGGAACCTAGGACCGCTGCTTCCTAAGGGCCTACCGTTCCGCTAGAAGCGCCCTCGTGCGCCGTCCCTTACTCACGCCCTTGTGCGCCTCGTTCCTAGTGCGCCCCCGCCCGCCCCTTCCTCTCAAGCTGCCCGTGCGCAGCCGCTAGCCGCCCGCGCGCACGGCCCGTTTTTCGAGCGCATAGCCCACAGGCCGCCCGCGCGCGACATCTATTTTTCTAGTGCGCGCGACCCGCTAGCCGCCCGCGCCGTCGACGGCGCCCACTCGCAGCTTGCCCTGGCCTCGCGCGGCACCTAGCACAGCCCGCGGGCTGCTCGTCGACCGTCGCGCGCCGCCGCCTCGTGCAC